ATGTTGCCCAACAGTCTAGGCAGACGCGCATCTGCGATGATGATGATGATGATGATGATGATGATGATGATGATGATGATGATGATGATGATGATGGTGGTGGTGGTGGTGGTGGTGACGACGACGACGACGACGACAATAGTATTTTCCGTTGATGTTGTAGATAATGATGTACGAAGTCTGTCTCCAACCTCATACTGAAACCAGTGAAACGTGATTGGCGACGAAGAAGTTATCGATTTCATCCTCCTTGTAATCTGCAGCAAAGGCGGAGTGCACCTGCTCAGCCACGAAGCACACAAACAAGAAATCACAGCACCTCTCTCCTCATCTCATCATTGTCAAAGACAGGGTCGCCCTTGTCGAACCCAAGATAGACGTCGTACCTGCAGGCAGCTCTCAGTGCCTTAGCTTAACATGTACTCGCGCACGAGTGTCGTCACCTGTACTTTCCCTGCTCGTGCTGCAGCTTCTCAACAAGAGAAGGGATGAAAACCTTCATCATGGGCAGCTTCTCTATATCCTCAATGTATTCTTCTCTGCTCTGAACCTGTACGAGACAGGCGACATGTGTCAGAACCATCCCAACTACCTCAAGTCAGATGATGAACCACTCGCATGTCGTCCTCTTCCTCCCCGTCATACTTCTTCCTCGATGACACGACTGGCAGGCCAAGAGCGATCACCGTCACATTCCCTCCCTTCCCTCCTGCTGCTTGAATGTCCAGCGCCGACAACTTGCCGCACTCCTCCTGCATCTGCTGCCTCTGTCACACGCCATCCAAGATATACTGAGAGGAAGGAAGCAAGGAGAGGGCGAGCACGATCTTCTTACCTCTACAAAGTTCTCGTCGTCCCATCTCCCGTCATGGAAGGGGCCAGCGCTCTCCTCAGGCGCACCCTCCTTGAAGAACCGTACCTCCCCCTCGACCACCTGCCTTCCTTGTACATCCTCTACCGAGAGCTTCAGGATATGCTCTCCCTCCGAGAGCCCCCCCGCTCCATCCATGCCCACTGTCATCCTGGAGGACCTGATCTCCATCAGCTTCCTGCCGTCCAGCAGCAGCAGCCCCTTGCCCTCTTCCGGCAAGCTAAAACCCTGGACCTCAACTTCAATGGTGAAGCTCCTTCCGGAGACTCTCTGATGCGTTTGAGGGTTGTGGAATATCACCCGCCTCTCTCCTCCTCCTCCTCCTCCTCCTTCCTCTGACATAGTCATCGCTACCGCTGCCGCCAAGAAGAGGAAGCATAGGAAGCGCGCCATAGCGAGGCCCAGAGTGGTCAAAAGAGTGGTCAAACTTGCAGCCGGCCTGATCGGACTCGGACGCGCGGCCCGGCCCGGCCCCGGCCCGGCCGCGCCGCGCCGCCGCCGCCGGGCAGGCCCGGTGCCCCCGGCCTCGTGTGTGCACTGACTGAGAGGCCGGGCTGGCACCCGGCTCTACCACTGGGCCGGCGGGTCGTGGCACACTGGGCCGGGCCGCTTCAAGTACAACTTGAACTGTGGCAAGTTAGTCCGAGGCACTGATCATCTTTCGCCGCCCGGCGGAGGCTTGCCAGTTGAATCGTTCAAGTACGGTGGCGGGACCCTCGTACCGTACGGCCGGGTAATGACTGGCCCTGCGGGACTCGCCGGAGTGCCCCGAGCCTGAGATGGCGGCGGCCGCCCACCCTGACCATACGGGGGCCCAATCCCGCCGGGGCGGCCCGCGGCAGGCGGCGGCGGCCGCCCGGTGAGTCAACTTTCAGGAGGCTGCCGCGGGCCAACGCTGTATTTCTATGTTTGTCATGATGAGTACGTTAACTTGACTTGAAATCAGGGTTTGTTGACTGCCATCATCCAGTCGCCACGGCCGCAAATATCATGGCACGGGCCCTTCGATTTCGCCGGACAGGCCCTTCAACTGAGCGGCCACGGTCACTGAGTGTTGCCGTGCGCCGTCAGAGTCAGGCTGCAAGCCGATGTTGCACAGCTCATCGTATCGAACAAGATCATGGCAGGGCTATTCCACATTTATTTTCTGCAAAGCTTTACGACATTTCGTTTTTAACATATCTGTCCTCCAACTTCCTCCTGCTCTTGCTCCCTCCCTGGATCAGCGCCCCTACCCACTTGTCTCGCGACACGCTCGTGTGGCAAGAGAAGTGGATCTCGCTCTCCTCGAAGCACTCCCTCCTCGACCTCAGCCCCACCGCAAACGTCAGAGGCTTCTCCCCGTACGTCGCCACGTACGACTCCTCCAGCCGGATGAAGCCTACCTCCGTCCCGTAGTCGCTGCCGCCGAAGATGGAGAGGATCATCTTGCCCGAGCTGGACTGGATGGAGCACCTGACCTTCTCCGGGGGCCGCGAGCCTCTCTTGCTCCGCATCTCCACCACCCCGTGCACTCCCTCGCACTCGCTGCACCTCCCCTGAGCTCCCGAAGCTGGGCAGGGCTTCATCTGGCAGGAGCAGGAGGTGGAGGCGACGCTGAAGGCGTTGGGGCCGCTGACAGTATCGGCGAGGTCCTTGAAGGACTCGAGGAGCTGAGCATGGCTGACGTACTGCTTGGGGGTAGTGTTGGGAGACCGGTAGGTGAGGAAGACGGCCTGGATGCGGGATCGAAGGAGCTCGGTGTCGTCCTGGGGCTCACGCACAGCAGGAGGACTCGGAGTTGAAGGGCCGAGTCTTGATTTTGAGGAGTAGTTAGGCTGGACAGGGAGGGGTCGGAGGGAAGAGAGGCTGATGACAGGAGGGAGGGGAAAGAGCTTTTGCTGGAGGATTTCGCTTTCGTCATCGCAGGTGACCAGGGTTGGCTGGGTGTGGGAGCTGAGATTGAGAGGATGGATGCTCTTGCTTGAGAGCTGATCTGAGAGGTCGGGTTGTCGGAGCTGAAGGCTCTTCATCGCTGGCCGTGCTGTCTGCATGCTCTATGTTGGTTTGCCCTCTCAAGCTCCAGAAAACTACAAAATACCTGCAAAATACCTTCAAGCTGCGACTGCTCAGGGGTAGGGTGCTGAATCTGCCGACGTAGGGGTTAAAACCCCTGTAAGTTGACCTCTTCGATAAGGGGTGGGGTACTAAAATGGTAGGCTACAGGGTGGGGTGTAGTTGTCAGCATCCTGGCAGGCATAATGGAAAGACTCGTTTTCGCAACCGATCCCTCAACTGCCGGGCCCGCCCCGCGTATTCGGTCCAGCCGCAATGTGTCATGTCACCTCTAATGGTGCCTTCACAATAAAGGACTCCCTGACGGTTACACGACCGTTGAAGTTCACAGCATGACTGGCCAGTCAGAACAGCGGGTGACTCTGATAACAGAACAAGCCAGCGAGAGGTCAGGTTCAACCTCACCAGCGTGAGCGACACAGACGCGAATAGAAGCATCCTGCTCGACAGCAAGGGCTACCATCCCTGTCGGAGATGCGGAGCAAGAGAGGCTAGATGATCCTCTCCATCTTCGGCGGCAGCGACTACGGGACGGAGGTAGGCTTCATCCGGCTGGAGGAGTCGTACGTCGCGACGTACGGGGAGAAGCCTCTGACGTTTGCGGTGGGGCTGAGGTCGAGGAGGGAGTGCTTCGAGGAGAGTGAGATCCACTTCTCTTGCCACACGAGCGTGTCGCGACATGCAGGTGTGAGAGCCATTTCAAACTTGTTGCATTAAAACTGGACGGGAAACTTATTCTACTGCAGAGACTCTTCATCAGTTGTGTTGATGTGGCAGTTTGACAATGTCCTCATAGCTTACATACAGACATCTTTCGTTCAAGACTGTTGTAACGATGCCAAGAATCCTCAATGAGCCTTCCTGTATACGCTGTCGGAATTTGAAGGTAGAGGATGTTGCGAGCGTGCTTCATTCTCGTGTCACGCTACGGGAGCAGCACAGAACCAGTCCAAGTAAGCAGCTCCATTTGTGACAGCGATGAAGTTGACGGTCAGAAGAGGAGATCGGAAGATTCTTGTGGATGTCCCCGTGAGGTGAGAAAGTTCTCCTCGATAGCAAGGAGGCAAAAAGAGCAGACAAACAACATAATACCTTCTGCTGCTGCTGCTGCTGCTGCTGCTGCTGCAATTACTAATACTACTGCTGCCACAAGAAGCTTGAAAAAAACGTACTGTCCTGCATTCCTTTCCTTCTGGACTGAGATTATTCAAATATTTGTATTATAACCAAAACAAACGCACACAAAGTCATATGTAAAAGTGTATTAAAAGAAATCAGAAATCAAAACAATGTAGCTATTCCTTATACATCCCCTCCTCGTGCTCGTGGACCCTATCTAACATCCACTTGCTCTTGCTCCCTCCCTGGATCAGCGCCCCTACCCACTTGTCTCGCGACACGCTCGTGTGGCAAGAGAAGTGGATCTCGCTCTCCTCGAAGCACTCCCTCCTCGACCTCAGCCCCACCGCAAACGTCAGAGGCTTCTCCCCGTACGTCGCCACGTACGACTCCTCCAGCCGGATGAAGCCTACCTCCGTCCCGTAGTCGCTGCCGCCGAAGATGGAGAGGATCATCTTGCCCGAGCTGGACTGGATGGAGCACCTGACCTTCTCCGGGGGCCGCGAGCCTCTCTTGCTCCGCATTTCCACCACCCCGTGCACTCCCTCGCACTCGCACCTCCCCTGAGCCCTCGCAGCCGTGTTGTGCACCGGGCGGGGCTTGTTCTTGGCCGACCCGTGCTCGCCCGACGGGATGCTGCTGGTTGACGGGAAGCTGGGGGAGTGAGAGTGAGGGCGATGGCAGGAGCAGGAGGTGGAGGCGACGCTGAAGGCGTTGGGGCCGCTGACAGTATCGGCGAGGTCCTTGAAGGACTCGAGGAGCTGAGCATGGCTGACGTACTGCTTGGGGGTAGTGTTGGGAGACCGGTAGGTGAGGAAGACGGCCTGGATGCGGGATCGAAGGAGCTCGGTGTCGTCCTGGGGCTGAGGGGCTGAGGAGGAGCGGGAAATCGGAGGACTGGGGGAAGAGGAATGTGCAGGGAGGGGTCGGAGGGAAGCGAGCCTGGCGATCGGAGGGAGAGTAACTTGAGTATCGATGGTGAGGTCCTTGGTATCGTCAGCTACAGAAATTTCGTCACTCTGCTGCTGCTGATCGCTCATCGTCTTCTTGCCCATCTGGGGAAAGAGAAGGTCTTTGTTCGCGCCGCCAGCAGCATTCAGCAAGTATTTCATCATGTTGCAAAGTTTAAGCTCACAGTCAGTGTTTACTTGAGTGAGATGGTACGAAGGAAGGGAAGGAGAGAGGGAGTGAGAGCGAGAGTGAGCGCGGGGGAGCGTGATAGGTGGGGTTTAAGTTCCATCGCTGCCTCTTCCTGCGGGTCTTTTTCTCCCTGGCAACTTTACGACTTGCCTTTCCCCTTCACTGACTACGAGCAAACTCTGTACTGCAGTTGTGGTACTGGTTGTACCTCCCAATAATTATATTCCCCAGTATCGGCATGATATTTATCAGTACAATTTTTGTGGTACCATTCGGAAATTCAGTACTGTCCCGGCACTATCTCCACAGTATCACCTCAGATGCCAGGCTTAATTCACCCAGTGACTGTTAAATTGCCGCAGTACCCTGCTACCCAATACTCTTCATACCACCCCCTCTTTCTACCGCACTGACCCTGGTGCTCAAGGAGTTTCCCACGGCGCCCCCGGATATCAGATCAGTATCAGATATGATGCGCCTGGTCGGTAGAAGGCAGTATCGCTCGAACGGCCGCGCCGCCGCGCGGCCCGCCGGGCGGCGCCGGGTCACCGCCGGTACTTTCACTATCCGATCGGGCGTATCCGAAGTGCCCGGCATGGCATGATGTGACTCAAATTCCGAGGCTCAGCGTGACGGTCTTCAAATCTTTACTCAAAGTTAAGTTAAAGATTAGTACGATCGGACGGACAATCATTGATCAGGAGACTCGGAGAGTCGAGGTAAGGTGGCTCAGTCAAGTCCGATTATCACGGTCACAGTGTGGCGCTCAGTGCCGGGCGTGGGGCCGCCCGGTCCGGGGGACAGCAGTCGTACTGATTTTTAACTGAACAAACTTTGAGCAAACGGTCAAGGTGCAGTCCGCTGGTGACCGGACTCCGGGCCCGGACTCGAAGGCTCGACTGACTCCCCGCTCGGACTCCGGGCCCCGGATCTACTCTTTACCGATCACTTAACCTTGATGAGTAAAATTAGGTAACAGGTTGTGATGACTAATCTTTTGCTGGCACCTCTTCTGGTAGACCGTCATGGAGTGGACTCCTATTGTCAATCAAAAACGGGAGTGTGTCAAGAGAGTGTTATGTTGGGAGCGGGGGAAGGAGAGGAGAGGAGAAGATAGGACATGGTAGGATCATAGTAGGAGAGCAAGGAGAAGTAGAACAAGGAGAGGAAGAGCAGATCAGAATTGGAGTTTGCCAACTCAAAGTTCGCAGGTGTCGGATGGGCTATGACATGGCTGCGAAGCGAAACAAAAGACTGCTAGTTTCTTCCAATCAGTTGTCCACTGGGTACGCGGCATGTCAGTGTGAGAAGCGCATGACGTCGTTCGAAGGTTTTGGGTAGTGGCAACACTAGGATGCAGTGTTGTTGTGGTGATATGCTCGAGCCTGGCCTTCATGGCAGGGAAGGCGGTGGGTCAGAGGACAGTAATGGCTGAGCAACAGGTGGGAAGGAGGAGGTGGATTGTGGAGAAATGACCTTATACGGCAGGCAATCATCGTGGAGGTTGATGTTGTAGCGACATGCTATAATAAGGGTTGAGTTGTGTTTGACAGGCGGCATTTGCACACATTGAGAAGCAGTTGAAAGGTGATGATGATGATGATGATGATGGTGGAAAGGTGATGATGATGATGATGATGATGATGATGATGATGATGTCGATGAGCCCGAGGCGAGGCGAGGACAGGACAGGACAGGACAGGACAGGACAGAGGCGAAGGAAGGGGGGAGGGGGAGGGGAGGGGGAGGGAAGGGAGGGAGGGTTTAGGACACATTGCATGTTTGTCATGACTCGTTTGGCAGAGATGAAGCGAGCTGTGCTCAACGGAGAGCGTCCGCTCTTTCTCACTGAAGAGGAGCGTCCGAAGCGATGGTGGCAACCTCGACCCCCCCGCAGACTCTCTCTCTCCTCCTTCAACGTGACTAGTGGAAAATTTCTGTCCTCCTCCTCCTCCTCCTCCTCCTCCTCCTCCTCGGGTTCATCCTCCGAGAATGAGGACGAGGTGGGGGTCGGGCAGGTGGTACTTTCACTGCTCATCGTCGTGGTGACGTCAGCAGTTCTCTTCAAGATGTTCAGATATGCCTCGGAGGGGGACAAAGTGGCAGAGGAGGAGAACGCGGGAGCGAGCACCAGCGATGATGCAACAGGGGAGGGGAAGGAGCCAGTAGGAGGAAGAAGAAACCAACAGATCTTCAAGTTGAGAGGAAGTGCAGGAGAAGAAGAAGGAGGAGGAGGAGGAGGAGGAGGATTGCGAGGAGGAGGAGAAGGATTGCGAGGAGCTGCTGCAGATTCTTTCACCGGGCCAGTTGTGCGTTCAGCAGCAGGAGAGAGTGAGGAGAGTTCAGCTAAGAAGGAAAGGACGAGTTTGAGGAGAGGAGGAGAGGAGAGGCTAGGAGAGGAGGAAGGAGCGGCAAGGGAAGCCAACGTCTCCTCCCGACTCACTGATTTGCCTTCCCGCGATTTCCTGAGTTTCGATCGAGAGGAGGAGAAAAGTCTCTGGAGTGAGCCAAGGTTGGCAAGGGTGATCTTCCCGGCGAGACAAGAAGACTGGAAAGAGGCGAAAAAGGAGGGAGGAAGAGAGGAGGGAGGAAGAGAGGAGGGAGGAAGAGAGGAGGGAGGCAGAGAGAAGGGAGGAAGAGAGGAGGGAGGCAGAGAGAAGGGAAGCAGAGAGGAGGGAGCAGGCGGTCAACCAGCATCTCATCTCTCCGTCTCCTCCTCTTCACTTGGACGTCATGCGCTTCCCTCCCATTCATGTATCCTCGCTCTCGCAGCCGCACGCTCACCCTGTGTTGGCCTCCCTTTCTCCTGATCAGGTGATTGAGCCTGCCGCACTACTGATGCTGACGGTAATCTCTTTTCCTTGCCCCCCCCATCCTCCTCTCCTCTCCTCTCCTCTCCTCTCCTCTCCTCTCCTCTCCTCTCCTCTCCTCTCCTCTTCATTATCCTATTCGTTTTCTCCCTTTTCACCTCCTTTCCCATCCTTGGTTCTTTTCCCTCCTCTTGTTTGCATTTTGTCTATTCCTTTCGTGTATCCTCACCCTGTCCCCTCTCCTCCTTCCCTCCCTTTCCTCCCTTTCCTCCCTGCCCTTCCCTGCCCTTCCCTGCCCTTCCCTCCCTTCCCTCCCTCTTCCTCTTCCCCGTTCTCTACAGGGTTTGCAGCTGTATTCTTCGATGCCAGGGACTGCAGCAGCAGCAACAGCAGCAGCAGGCGTTCCCATCCTCTTCAGAAGTCATGATGGGAATCTGTACCACCAGCAAGTGCTTCCTCCTGCTCCTGCTCCTGCCCCTGCTCCTGCTCATCATCTTCAGTTCTCTGCTGCGATGCCGCCCGGTCCCCCCCTCACCTTCACCCACTACCAGAGATGATCAGACTCGAGGAAGCGCGAGGACGTGGAGGAAGATGGAAGAATGAAAAGCTGCTGCTGCTACTTGCTTGTCCTCCTCCAGCTATTCAGATGCGGGATGCAGAGCGAAAGGCGCTGCAAGACGAGGAGGTGGTGGAGGTGGAGGGGGCAGAAGAGCAACAGCACCACCACCATGCCACCAGCAGCAAAGACGTAGCACGAGGGGACCAGGTGGTCAAGACTTGAGCAGAGGCTAGAGTCAAGTGATGTACGAAGAGCGCAGACAGGAGGGAGGACGACCAGGAGGATGACAAGGTTAATGCTGTATGTGTACTCGCATGTGAAAAACCAGACTCCTCCCTCCCCCTCCCTCCCCCTCCCTTCCTCTCCTCCCTCCCACGTCCTTGTCCTTCTCCCCTGCTGACTCATCTCTGCTCACCGCCGAGCTGAGATGAGGACCACACATCCTGCAAATAGGTGAGGGTGAGGTAGGCAGGCACGAGCTGGGAAACCTCCTCGTCGGACCAGATGGTGGGAGCAGCGACAGGCTTCCTGGTCGACTGCATGGAAGTGAGAGTAGGAGGAGCTGCAGCAGGGGGAGCAGCAGTAAGGGGAAGGATGCGGGGGGAGTAGCAGGAGCAGGGGCAGGAGGACGAGGACGAGGACAAGGAGCAGCAGCAGGAGATGCTCGCGGTGGTGATGTTGCAGCTTGAGGCAAACAACAAGCAAGCCAGCAGTCTGAAGATGAAGGGAGAGGGAGGGAAAGGAGAAGGGAGCGACCGAGGGAACGAAGGAGGGAGAGAGGGAGCGAGGGAGGGAGCAGAGTGCGAGGAGGAGTAGATTTCTTCTTACCCTTCCCCATGCTCCCAGATCCCGATCAGATAAGGGAGCAGTCTGTGCATGAGCCGCTTCCTCCTCGTGCACCTCAGCAGAGAGATCGTCTGCATGCTCTTCACTGGAGTTGGTCCTTGGCGACCACCTGCAAGGGAGAATGAGGAGAGCAGAACGATCAAGATGAGGGACGAAGAGGTGGTGGTAGTGGAGGAGGAGGAGGAGGAGGAGGAGGAATAGAAGGAAGAGTTGGTGGTGGTGGAAGGGAAAGAGGAGCAGCAGCAGCAGCAGCAGCAGGCAAGGAGCCAGGTCAGTACCTGCTCTCGTGCTCGTGCGCTGTGGACTTGTTGGGTTTTCCTTCCTCTCCTCCTTTTATCGACTTGACACAAAGCACACGGTGACCGATCTTGCGCAGGAGGAGAGGGGAGGAGGACAGGAGTGGAAGGGGGAGTAGGAGAAGAGGAGAAGAAGGGGGATCAGGAGAAGAGGAGAAGAAGGGGGAGAAGGAGAAGAGGAAGGAAGGGAGTGGGAGTGGGAGCAAACAATACCTCCTTTGGAGGGGCCATGACTAGCATGCCTCCTACCAGAGCAGGCATCCTGTCCTTCTCCTGCCTCCTGACCTGTGAGACCTGACGACACGTCAGCAGTGAGTAAACGATGGCACAGGTGGTGGTGGTGGTGGTAGTGGTGGCGGAGAAGGAGGAGGAAGCACCTGTCGTTTGCTCTCTTTTCCGCTGGCGAGAGTTTGCTCTAAGGCAGAGTAAGACGACAAGACACAACGGGGAGAGGATGACAAGAGGAATAGACAAGGAGGGAGGAGAGGAGAGGAGAGGAGAGGAGAGGAGACGAGACGAGACGAGACGAGACGAGACGAGACGAGACGAGACGAGACGAGACGAGACGAGACGAGACGAGAGGAGAGGAGAGGAGAGGAGAGGAGAGGAGAGGAGAGGAGAGGAGAGCAGAGGAGAGGAGAGCAGAGGAGAGCAGAGGAGAGCAGAGGAGTGGATAGGGGAGGAGGGGAGTGGCGAGGAGAGCCGAGGCACAGACGTCGCTGGAGGAGAAGAAGAATTTTCCAAGGCTCAGTCCTTTCTTGCTCTCTGAGCAGACGTCAGGGCAGGTACCGCAAACTCCCGACAAGCTTGACCTTTGCTAGGTTCCTGCTGCTTGGCGCTGCCCCCCTTGTCCACTTGGCTCTGGAGTAGGTTGAGAGAAGAAATACGAAATAGGAGAAAAGATGCGAGCGAGGGGTTGAGAATGAAGACAGAACAGGAGCAGCAGCAGGAGGAGAAGGAGCAGCAGCAGCAGCACCAGGAGCACCAGGAGGGGCAGGAGCAGGAGCAGCAGGAGCAGGAGCAGGAGCAGGAGCAGCAGGGCCAGGAGCAGGAGCAGGAGCAGCAGGAGAAGGAGAAGGAGCAGGATGAGGAGCAGGAACACACTTACGTTTATCTTGACATCAGAATCCTTTGAGCCCAGGGAAGAGGAGCTCATAGTTGACTCTCCTGGCTCTTGTTAGCCAGAGAGGACACATGCCTCGGAAGAGGCGGAGAGGGTGGTGGTGGTGGTGGAGGAGGAGGAGGAGGAAACGCAGAGCTCGAGCAAGAGCAAGGGCAGGAGAAGAGTTGGAGTTAGAGGAGCACGAGAAGGCGAAGCATGAGGAGAAAGAGAAGCAGGAGCAGCAGCAGGAGCAGGAGCAGGAGCAGGAGCAGGAGCAGGAGCAGGAGCAGGAGCAGGAGCGGGGGAAGTAGAGAGGATTTCACGATAGAGGGAGTTTGAAGAGGATTACCAACAAGAGTTTGATTTGACTTCTCTCTTATCTTCGCCTTCAAGACATTTCAGCTGATAAACTGAATCCTCTCCCTCCTCTCTCCCTTTCCTCCCTTCCCTCACCTCCTTCTCCTCCTTCACCTTCTCCCTCTCCTCTCTCACTTCGACCACAACATCCCATCCCTTTCTCTCTCCTCCTCCCTTCTCTCATCCAGCTGCCTCATTTTACCTCCTCTAACCATCGCGGGTATGCGTATACGAGCGAGCCAGTCTCGTCATCGATCAACCTGCTCGAATGTAAGACCGTCAAATCCTCAAACATCAAGACATCCTCCTGCTCCTGCTCCTGCTCCTGCTCCTGCTCCTGCTCCTGCTCCTGCTCCTGCTCCTGCTCCTGCTCCTGCTCCTGCTCCTGCTCCTGCTCCTGCTCGTCCTGCCCCTGCCCCTGCCTCTTCTTTCGTCCCCGTCTGTTCCCCTGCTGCCAACACCTTCTACCATCTTTCCTACCCCCCTGCGCTCCCTCTGCCTGCATCGTTCCTCCTCCTCACCTGTCCCTGACTCGTCCGTCGTACACAAGTCGAAACCGCTTGTCTCGCCATGAGAACACGTTCTTCGTCTCTGTCTTCTCGACTTCCCGTGTCAGTCGCCCGATGCTGATCTCCTCGTCCAGCCCTGCGATGTTAACCTGCTCCAGCGTCATCCACTGACCTTCTACACTCCCAGCCCCTCCCTGCCTCCTCCCCTTCTAACTTCGTCCTTCCCATCGTCGTCCCTGCCCAGCCCTGCCCTGATCCGCTCTACTCGTCTCCTCTCTCACTCACCAACTCATTCGCTTGCTTCTTCTTCGCTCGCTGAAGCTTCGCCGCGTCCATCTTTCCATCCTCCACCCCTCCCTTCCGCTGACTAGCCTCGCCCCAGGACTTCCCTTCCTCGTCCTTGTGCCCACTTAAGGTTTCGCTCGACTTCGACCCCGACCGCACGCTCGCTGTGTCGCTCAGCGTGTCTGAAATTCCCTCCGACCCCCCGCGTTGGGAGACACTTCGACTCTCTCCATCCTGCAAATAGTTGATGCAAGGTAGGAGGAGCAGGAGCAGAAGAACGAGCAGGAAGAGGGGGTGAGAGGAGGGAAAAGGAGCAGGAGTCACGAGGAGGACGAGGAACAGGAGCAGGAGCAGGAGCAGGAGCCGGAGCTGGAGCTGGAGCTGGAGCTGGAGCAGGAGCAGGAGCTGGAGCTGGAGCTGGAGCTGGAGCAGGAGCTGGAGCTGGAGCAGGAGCAGGAGCAGGAGCAGGAGCTACCTCTGGTCTTCTCTCCGGCTTCTTCCCCCCCACGAATTTGCTGCTCGAGCTCGGCCTTTCTGCCTCCACACGTCACCATTCGCAAACTCCTCTCAGGGCCCACCGAGATCGAGGGCCCGCTTGTCCCCCAAGAAGTCAAGATCATTAATTCGGCTCTTAAGTGATTTGTACTGGGTGGTGAGGGACTCGATGAGAGATTCTCCATCCGACGTCAGAAGGCTCTTTGCCCTGAGCTGGTTATCCCCATAGTTGATGGCAGAGATCACCTGCAGCACTGAAAGTAAGAGAAGGAGCAACATGAGGGAGAGGAGGGAGAGGAGGGGAGAGAAGGGGAATGGAGGGGAGAGGAGAGGAGGGAGAGGAGAGAGAAGGGGAGAACAGAAAAGGGGTGAGAGGGAAAATGAGGGAAGGCGTAGAGTTCCGAGATGGAGCGAAGCAGAAGTGAATGGGAGGAGAGAGTGACGGGAAGAGAGGGGAGGAGAGGAGGATCAGAAGGACAGGAAGAGGGAGGGAGAGACCTGGCTAGGAGCAACATCATCTATGAACTCCCTCAGAGAGGCTTGCATCCTCTCCGTCTCCCTCGCCCTCCTCACGAGCGTCACATGAACGGCTGAGGAGGCCCGCAGCACAGCCTTCTCGCAGCTCCTTGACAACCTGGTACCATCGCAGTCATCCCTCCTCTCCTCTCCTCTCCTCTCCTCTCCTCTCCTCTCCTCTCCTCTCCTCTCCTCTCCTCTCCTCTCCTCTCCTCTCCTCTCCTCCTGTACCTTCCCTCCCTGCTCTCCCTGCCATCCCTGCTCCTCTCTCTTGCTGCACTCATGTCTACCCCTCCCCTGCTCTCCTCTCCTCCTTATCCCACTCTTCTCTCGTTCTCCCCATTCTTTTGTTCGCCTCCTCCCCTCCCCTTCCCCCTCTCGCCTCCCTCCCTCCCCTACCTATCGACCAGCAGTATCTCAGAGTCCAGCTGAGCTACCAGCTCCCTCAACATATTCCATCTCGAACGCTCGGCCGAAAACTTCCAGCGAGTCAGCAAGGGAGCGAGATCAATTGCCGCACAAACCTCCTCCTCCATCATCTTCAGATGCTCCTGCAAGTCCTTGCTGACCGCGCTCCTCTCCGCTTCCATCTCCGTCTTCATGTGCTCTACCTCCTCCTCGGCCTGCTTGCCACTTCAGCAGCAGCACAACAGCTCTCATCCCTCTCCCCCTCCTCTCAGCTCCCTCCTCTTCCCGCAACACCACATACTCCTGTCAACCCTGCTACTGCCCTCCTGCCTCCATCCCTCCCCACTCATCCTTCTCCCGCCTCCTGACACTCCTCCCTCCTCCCTCTCACCATTCTTATCCTCTTCTTCGACTCCTGCTGCAGCTTCGCCATCTGCTCCTGCACGTCTCGGATCGCCTCCTGGTGCTCTCGGACGACTCGGGCCATCTCCTCCTCGTGCCTCCTCTTCATCTCCTCCGCCTCCGCCTCCGCCTCCGCCTCCGCCTCCTTGCTCTTCCTGCTCCTCTCCTCCAGCTGCTCGGTCAGGTGCTCCACCTGCCGCATCGCCGAGTGCATCTGCTGCCGCATCGCGATCACCGTCTCCCCTCCCTCCACCGCATCCCGCAGGAAGCTGCTCAGCGCCTCCAGCTTCACCTCCCCGTCATACACCACTGGGTTCTCTCGACCTCGTCCTCGGAAGATGCAGATGTGCGGCAGGTCAGCTGCCGTCAGCTCGAAGCTCTCGAGCACGTCCTCCTCCACGTGCCGGACCACTCCGAACGCGGTCGTCATGGACTGAGCCTCCGCCAGCTGCTGCCACAGGGGAGGGACATCGGTCTTGGTCGTGAAGAGAACAGCCTTGAGAGGACGGATCGTCGACGCCAGGAACGCGTCCGCATTCCTCGAGTTTAGCATGACCACCCTCTCCCCCTGCGCCGCTTCGAGCGCCATGAGCTTGTCGCTCAGCAGCTGCTTCTCCTCCTTCAACTTGATGATCTCGGCGCTAAAGACTCTACTCTCCGACTCCACCTGCGCTCGCAAGCTCTTCTCCCGCTCCTTCGCCTCTGCCAGCTCAGCTTCCAAGCTCTTCTTCACTGCCTCCACCTGCCCGACCTGCCCCAGCTTGCTGCGGGCAATCTCCGTCCTCGCTACCTGCAGCGCCTCCTTCTCTCGCTCGAGCTCTTGCCGCAGGCTCTTCATCTCCCTCTTCTGCATCTCCAGCTCCCTCTTCAGCTCCAGCGCTGGCGATCTCCCTCCTCCTGTCTCCACCAGGAACTCGCTGATCCTGTCGAAGTCTGACGGGCCCTCGTACGGGATCACCCGCTCCCCGCCATCGCCGTCGTGCGTCACGGCTATGATCTTTGGCAGAGCGTCAGGAGAGACAGCAAACCTCTCCATCAGCGCCGTCTCAGTGTGCCTGATTTCTCCGAACTTGCAGCACTCCCCGAACGCCTCGGACAGCCTTAGCCATAGCGATGGGGTTTCGGCCTTCTTGGTAAAGAGGACGGGCTTGAGGTAGTGGACCTGCAGCAGGCAGCGATCAGGACGGGGCCAACCACAACGAGGAGAGGATAGGAGAGTTGTGGCGCCACCTCGCTGCTGAAGAACTCCTCCGCATTCTCTGCGTTGAGAAGTGTGTTCGACTTTGACATGCTCCTGCTCACCGGCAACCAGCACGCTCACCTTCCGCTGCTGATCCTGCTAAGAACAAAACATTCACGAAGCCACATGTACACCCACCCTCGTGCTCTCCAGCTTCCGCTCCTCCAATTTTAGCCTGATCTTGCCACATGCTCTCTCCCCCCCCCCTTCCCTGCCCTGCGCCTGTTTCCTGCTTTCATTCTGAACGACAGCACCTTATCCACTATTACCACCTGTGTCTTCAATCGTCATTAGCTTCTGCTTCCTGCTCCTGCTGCTCTTTGGCCTCTTTGTCTAACTCCTTCATCGAGTTCTTCTCCCTGCTATCAGCTCTCTTCTCCTTGCTGTATCCTTCTCCCTCCTCCCTCCTCCCTCCTCCCTCCTCCCTCCTCCCTCCTCCCTCCTCCCTCCTCTCCCTCCCCTGATCTTCCAGCTCTCTCCCTTACCTCCTGTCTGGCATTCACGACTTCGTCACCAATTGCGATCGTTATGACCGTTATTACTCTCGTCCGGCCGGACTCGGGATCGGACCGTCCGAGTACGGTCGGGGTGACGGTGCCAGTGGGCCGGGCCGTGGCACTGAGTCAGCGTGCCTGACTCGTGACTCGGGCCGGGCCGCCGGGCCGCTCATCATGGCATGGTCGCAGGCAGCCTGGCACCGGGGGCACGGTAGCAGTGTCGGAGTCCGGGCGCCGCCACCGGCGGTGCGTTAACTTGGGCTTTGCCAGCCCAAGTTGGCCGGGCCGCCGGGGCACGCCCGGCCGGGCGGCCACTGACTCAGTGCCAGTGCCAGCCACCGGCACCCTGAGACGCGCGGCGCGGGGGGGTCCCGTGAATCCAATGACCCCGCGCTGGATCCCGGCGGGCCGGGCCGCGGCGCCGCCGAGCCGCGGCCTGTCTGACGGTCACCGGGTCACACGGGGGGCCGGGCCGGGTGACGACTCGACGGTGACAACTTCCCGGGCCGTACGCCGGCCGGTACGGACGGTACGGGCCGACGGGCCGATCCGATTAGTGAATGGTTGGACAGTCAACTGACGGTCCAACAGGGGCCCCAGTCCGAGTAATCGACGGATTGGCTCCGCAGCAGGCGAGGGAGTCTTCATACCTTTCACAAAAGTCTTACATTCAGCAGGAATATCAAGAGGGAATATCTCTTATTGTTTATCTACATAAAATGTTTTCATTTCACTCGTCGCCCACGATCTCTGCAGGGAGGCTTGAAAGCATCCTCCTGCTCTTGCTCCCTCCCTGGATCAGCGCCCCCACCCACTTGTCTCGCGACACGCTCGTGTGGCAAGAGAAGTGGATCTCGCTCTCCTCGAAGCACTCCCTCCTCGACCTCAGCCCCACCGCAAACGTCAGAGGCTTCTCCCCGTACGTCGCCACGTACGACTCCTCCAGCCGGATGAAGCCTACCTCCGTCCCGTAGTCGCTGCCGCCGAAGATGGAGAGGATCATCTTGCCCGAGCTGGACTGGATGGAGCACCTGACCTTCTCCGGGGGCCGCGAGCCTCTCTTGCTCCGCATCTCCACCACCCCGTGCACTCCCTCGCACTCGCACCTCCCCTGAGCCCTCGCAGCCGTGTTGTGCACCGGGCGGGGCTTGTTCTTGGCCGACCCGTGCTCGCCCGACGGGATGCTGCTGGTTGACGGGAAGCTGGGGGAGTGAGAGTGAGGGCGATGGCAGGAGCAGGAGGTGGAGGCGACGCTGAAGGCGTTGGGGCCGCTGACAGTATCGGCGAGGTCCTTGAAGGACTCGAGGAGCTGAGCATGGCTGACGTACTGCTTGGGGGTAGTGTTGGGAGACCGGTAGGTGAGGAAGACGGCCTGGATGCGGGATCGAAGGAGCTCGGTGTCGTCCTGGGGCTCAGAAGAGAGGGAGGAGGAGTCGAGGCTTGAGTTTTGAGACGACTGAGATCGAGTGATAAGCGGGCGAAGGGAAGAGAGCCTGACGGTGGGGGGGAAGCCAGTCTTCTTTTCGTTGACGACTATGTCGTCTTCGTCTACTTCGTCGGCAACAATGGCATTAAAGAGTGTTGTTGACGTGTTCTCAGCAAGACTGTTTTGTTCTTTGCGCTTTTCACAAATGAGTTGATATAGGTGGTTTTCACGAAGATTGCTCGTCCTGGACATGTTCTTCATCATTTCTTCAGTGTTGGAGATTCTCTTCTGATTGCGATGGGTTTACTTCTGCAAGTTGTTGTCTTGAAGATCTTTGGAGCAATGTGGCTGCAGGTGCTCTCGATTGCCCTTCCCATCGCTATATATACCGTCCTCCCTCCCGCCCTCTTCTTGCGTCTCCCAAGAGTTTGCTGACATTGCCCTCCACTGGTGCAGGAGAAAATACTACTACTTTTTAAAAAATTCGCTCCCTTCAGACAAGCTTGCCCCAGAGATGTAATAGCACCATGGAAAAGGCAGTAAGTTTACTACATAGTTGGTCCTACTAGTGGCCCCGTGATAACTCCGGTCCTCCGACTTCACATGGGTGAGCCCTCGGTCAGCGATTGAGTCTCAGTCTCCCGCTACACACTACCGGGAGATTGACCAGCCGTTGTCATCACCTCAGTCCACCTCTCCCCTTCAACCACCCCCGCTGTCACGCCCCTTTAACAGGGTGCCACCGGGCGGAGCGGCCCGGCGGGCCCGGGGGCCTCACTGCCGCCCTGACCGTACCGTACTCCGTACCGTGACGGCCCGTTGAGCCTCATCGGCAGGCTTTACTACTCAAGGTACTCAGTACAGCCGCTGGCAGCGGCGCAGCCCGGGCGCCGCGCGGCGCGGCGGTCACCGGAGTCCAACGCCGAGTCAGCCTGCAGGTCACCGTCAGCCTGGCAGGCCCCCGGACTGACGGTGAGTCAGTCACCGGGGCCGCGCGGCGGCCCGGCCCCACTGCGCCGCGGCACTGGCCGCTGAGCGGCCCCCGGGCCCGCTCCGAGCGGCCAGCCCGGCCGGGCTGCCGCAGGGCCAGTGCCAGTACGGTCACCCGGTGCCAGTGAGTGCCCCGGGGGCGCCGGGGCCGCCCGGCGGCGTGACTACTAGCCTAGTACGGCCCTGTTACCGTACCATCCGCCGAGTCCTGATCCCTTAGTAAGACAGGCTCTAAACGTTAGTGAGACCGTACTGAGGAAACCAAAGAAGTCGTGCCAGAGTTTGATCAGGCCCCCGACCGTACCGTACTGTTACAGCGACGAATGATTGGCATCTCACCGAGCCCGGCAATCATCCGATCGGACTCGGCGAGTCGTACGGAGTACCGTGCCAAGCCCGGTGCCGCGGCCGTTGGCACTGCAGCGGAAACGGTTTCTGGCACTTCCGATTTCCGAATTCTCTCACGCCGGGTCCGATCCAATTGACTCAGTGAACTTAACTTCCGATCCGATCGGCCCCGGGCCGGGCCCTGCCAGTGGACGGTCGGAGGCTTCGAGTCACTGCCACCGGGGCTCAGTGGCCGGGCCGGGCTGTCGCGGCCCGGGTGCGGCAGACCCGTACGGTCACGCCTAGTACAGACGATTCCAGTGGTACCAATTATTATTACTTCATTTCTAATTTCCTATGAAATAAATTTATTTTTATGAATATATTATCTATAATAAATACTTATAGATACCTGCAAATTATATATTTGTAGATATTTACGTATGAGAAGCTTATACAAATATATAACAATATTTTTGGAAGGATGCGCTTGTCATGGCAGCGGGAGGGATGAAGGGGAGGAGGCGACGGGCGGGCGGGAGCTGAGATCATGATGTCGAGGAGGAGAAGGGACGTGAAGAAGATCGGGAGGAAGGGGAGATCATGATGTCGAGGAGGAGCAGGGACGTGAAGAAGATCGGGGGGAAAGGGGAGTGGGGAGGGAGACGGGTGCAGGAGGTGACTTCTCCGCTTCTTTCCCTCCCTTACACTTGCATCCCTAAAATTGATTGTTCGCCTGCTCTTGTGTGCGACATGAACTCAGCTAGATGGTCCATATCTACATGATGCTGTTCTTTATTCCCGTTCTGACTGATGATACCTTAGCTTTCAGGCCATGGTAACGTAGTCAGCACACGGAATGCGGCTTCAAGAGTTCGGCAGGCTCGTCGAGCTGGGCCCGGACAAGGCTGGACAGGAGCTTCGCAAGAGTATAGAATCATTGGAGTCATTCACCCATGCTCTGCTGTCAAGAGAGCACGAGAGAGAGGTCGCATCCTCCGACCTCACAGACGTGATGCAGTGGATACCATGGTTGATCACTTCCCCTGCTGACAACGAGACGCCCGACGAGTATGTCGAGCGCGTTCAGATGTGCTATGGCGCCAAGTCGAACGTGTGCGGAAGGATCTGGGGCAAGGGCTACGTTGCCTACCGCTGCAGGACATGCGGCATGAGCCCTTGCTCGGCGATCTGCCATGAGTGCTTCGAGAAGGGTGCGCACAGAAACCATAACTTCCTAATGTACAGGTCAGTCGCTGGCGGCTGCTGCGACTGTGGAGACCCAGGGGCCTGGAAATCGACGGGGTTCTGCTCCATGCACACGGGACCTGCCATGCCGTTCCACATCCCGATGCCAACAGACGAGGTAAGGAGCGCGTACCATGTCCTCAAAGTCCTCCTCCAGTACCTGGCGAACCGGATGGCGGAGAGCCACGACTTCTGGAGGAAGGATCCGATAGAGAGCTACCGGCAGCCCCTCCCGCAGACGTGCAGGGAGATGTTCCACTTCGTTCAGAACCTCTGCCGTACTGGCAACGTCTACCGCAGAATCGTGTGCGCAGCTGCCCTTGAAGACATCGGTTTGATCAACCCGAACTTGCGGGCCTCGGACTCGCCGATGGAGGGTGTGAGCTGCGACGGTGACATGGCAGGACGAAGTGATAGCAACCGAGAGCTGAGAGCGCCGGGGGGGCACACGGGGTCGAGGAGCGGTCTAGTTCAGCAGTTCTTCAACTGCCAGACTGGCAGGAACTACGACTTTTTCATCTCCCAAGACACCAAGACTGTATTTTTCCATCTCACAAACGAGCCTGATCACAGCTTTCCTCTTTCTATCCTGGAATCTCTCGTTCTCACCGGGTCTTACCTGTCAGTTGAGATGTCGACCCTGTTCCTCCAGATGCTGTTCGATTTCGACTTCAAGCAGCGATTCACCCGAATCTTCATCAAGCTGTACAAACGGTTCATGTACACGATCTTGAAGCACACAAGGGAGCTCCCCAATGACAAGAAGGAGATACCTACGAGGATGGTTGACATCAGCGTCCAACTTTTCAGCAACTCGATCCTTACGATCCAGATGATCCAAGAGGAGTCACTGCTCAGTACTCTATTCCAGAACATCCTCTACCTGGTCGATGAGCAGAAGAACGTCTTGAAGGGGGAGACGATCGACTGCGAGCATGACATCTGGACCAAACGCACCTATTGGCCCATCACCAACGACCTTGTCAATATCCTGTCGCACAGGAGCGTCGTCTTGGAGTTCTTGCAGAACGAGCACCTCATCAACGAATGGCTGGACGTCACGAAGCAGTTTCAGAGCATCGACCTTCACTTCCGATCGGTCTGTCTGCCGCGCGTGCGAGTTGCAAGGGGGAGGCGACTAACGGACTTCAGGTGAACGTGCTGGTGGAGCAAGAGTCTCGAGCGTGGACCAGCCCGTTCTTCATCGAGCTCGAGCTCGTGATGGAGCAACTGAGCCTTATCGACACGGGAGTCAAAGACCTGATGGCCCAGGAAGACATGACGGACGATCCGTCGCAGGACGGCATCGACCGGGAGAAGATGCTGAGGTCGCTGAGGGCGACTCTCAAGGCTGGTGTGCAGGCATGCAAGCTGTGGTTCATGGAGAGCGAGGTCGGGGATGCTAACTACAAATTCCCGATGATGTTCGACGTGTCCAAGGAGGCCGTCTCCTTCCACATCCCCATCCATCGCTTCGTCGCGTTCTTCGTGTCCCAGGTGGGTGTGGCGAGTCCCTTGGGCCCTGTGCTGACGTCATCGGGGCAGATCTGTCGATATTCCGATCGTCCCCTGAGGGAGGTGCTGGACATCGAGGACCTGAACAGCTTCATGAGCAAGTTCATAGAGCACCCGCTGCGCATTCAGGTGTGTTCCAGTCGTTCCCCCTCATTTCTCAGCTCACCTGTCGACTCTTGCTTCCCTCCAGGTCCTGCTGGCTCAGATCCGAGCTGGTATGTGGCGATGGAACGGGGAGAACATGCACAGGAGAGGATGGATCTACAGATCGAACTACTTCTACGACCTCGGCTTCGACCTCGACCTCTTCATCCTTCAGTGCTCGGCCGCACTCACTGACCCCGACGAGCTGCTCGCCATCATCCTGGATCGTTTCGGGCTGATGGAGTACTTCGGTTTCAAGGATCCCAGGAGGGAGGACGAGGACGAGGACGAGGACGAGGATGAGGACATGATGGACATCCCAGTCTCAGCCAGCACGTCGATCTCCGAGGACTGCCTCATCATCATCGCAGCGATCTTGTCCGAGAGGGCGAGGCTGGGCCTGTCGGACCGCGACTGCATCCACCAGGAGATCACGGCCCGTCTGTGCGTGAAGCCGCACTCGCACAGCCAGCTGACAGACTCCATCTGTCGGAGGTGGCACGAGCATGAAGACTTTGAATCCGTGCTGAACCAGGTGGACGACTGTGCCACTTGTGCCCTCTTGCCACCCCCCCCCCCCCCCCCGCCTTCCGCCCTTCCTCCTGCTCCTCCTCATCGTCTGCTGTCCTTTCATCCCTCCTCCCTTCTCTCCTCTTCTCTCTGACTTGCCAGCTCTTCCTTCGCTCCTCGTCTTTCGTGATCCCCTTGCTACTCCCCAGCAACATGGCTAGCAATCTGATCCCTCTTCCTCCTCACTCACCTCTCCTTCTTCCCCCGTCTCTGTCCTCTCCTCCCTTCCCTTATCCTGCGCATCCTCCCCTACTGCACTACTCACTTCACCGACAGGCGTCTCACTACGAGGAGCCGAAGTCAGAGAAGATGGAGCAGGGTAAGTACCGTCTCAAGGTTGACGACTCCTTCCGCTACGACTCCTTCCTCGTCCACGTGCTCGTCCGCAGCTTCAACCATGGCGACTACGAGGCAGCGCTGGAGCAGGCCAAGATGGACGAGAAGAGTCGAACCCCCAGCGACCAGCCAGCTCATGGCGAAAAGCGCAAACTGCTGATGCACCTGCCCGACACGTTCAAAGGGATCTACCGGCTGCTGCATTCCCCAGTCCTCCATCACGTCCTGCACCGGGTGCTGCTGAGGGCAGTCAGGCAAAGAAGCGTCTACTCGACGTCCATTCAAGTCAACATGACGCTCTGGCTCATCCAAGCTGCTCTCGAGCATCAGCTGGAGCAGAGGCAGGAAGGGCTGCGGGAGGTGGAGGAGGAGGCGGGTGGTGCACTGTTGCAGGACTGGGGCTGCGTGTTCCATCGGCATGACTTCCTCGAGAATTTTGACAAGGTCATCTCAGTCAAAATTCGAGACGAGGAGGCGCATGAGGAGAGCAAGGAGGAGGAGTGTGAATACAGCATCTACACCCTCCTCTGCGAGCTCCAGAAGACTGACCTCGGGCAAGACACGCACCCCTCAGTCTCCAACGTCCTATCCCTGTACAGGAGTCTTACAAAGGCTGACGGGGGGGGAGAGCAGTTGGAGCAGCAGCAGCAGCAGCAGCAGGCGGCGGCGGAACGGGGAGCTTCAGGCTCCCCGTCCAAGGTTTCGCTGCAGCAGGCCAAGGAGCGTCAGGCTGCCCTGCTTAAGAGCTTTGCGGAGCAGCAGAAGATGTTTGCAGCTGCGATGCCGATCGTGTCGGACTCGGAGGAGGAGGACAACGAAGACGACAAGGTCAAGTGCGTGATCTGCTCGCTGTACGCCAGCCCCTCCACCAGCGAGCCCGTCGGGCTGGTCTGCTTCATGGAAAACTCCAACGTATTTGCCAAGCACCACAGGAGGGCGCGGGAAAAATTCTTCGGCGGGCGGCTGCAAGGAGGAGGAGCGGAGGTAGCAACGAACATGCAGGTACACAGCAGCCCCAATCTTTTCTTCCAGTCCTGCGGCCACTACATACACGTGTCGTGCTTCAACAGCTACCTCGACAGCCTCTCCCACCCCGAGAAGAACGCTTCCCTGCTCACTAGGACGAATTTGGGCTACCAGGAGGCGAAGAACGGCAACTTCTTCTGCCCCCTCTGCCGTCAGATGGCGAACGCGCTGGTGCCGCTCATCCCGTCCCGGCACAGGAACGACAGCAACGAGCAAGTGCAGCAAGCGATGCCGAGTCTGATCAACACGATCGTCGAGGGGTACAAGAGGGACGGGAGGGAGAAGTTCTCCCTGCTCCACCTCAAGAAGCGCGTCCTCTCCCCCGTCCAGCTCGAGCACGGGGCCCTGCTAGCGCAATCCATCTCCTCCTTCCTGGAGCGCCTTGAGGTGGTCAAGGACGTGGGCAGCGCGTCGAGCGGGCACGGGGAGAGCGGGGCGCTGGGGAACCTGATCAAGGGGCTGGGGACGACCATCTGCTGTATGGAGCTAAACTCGAGAGAGTTCTTCAGCGGGCAGGGAGGAGCAGCGAGTCAGAAGCTGCCGGCGGTGGGGAAGGCGCTGCACAACCTGCGGGAGATTCATGTGCTCGCGCGACATGAGCAGGCGAGGAGGAGGAGGAGGAGCCTGGACGAGCCCTTCCTCCGTCTATTTGGCTTGCAGAGCTCTCCAGCAGCCGACGGAGCTGCCGCAGGGGCGGCGGCGGCGGCGGCAGCAGCAGCAGCAGCAGCTGGGCCCCAGGACGCCCCCTTCCTGTCTCTGCACATGTTCTCGGTGCTGCTGCAGGTGTACTACTCGCTGAACGTGGAGGAGTTGGAGCAGCACCTGGCGATCCTCCACCTGATCTTCAGCGCGCATGTCGTTCAGGTCAGCCTCTCCTACCTCTTCAAGAACCCTCCACACGAGCTCCAGAGCGAGTCTGACATGACCGACGAGTCCCAGTGCCACATCCTTCAGCTCGTGTACCAGCTCCACTGCCAGCTGGGGCTGGACAGGATCTTCGCCGAGATGCGCAGCGGGGGCGAGCGGGAGGGCCGGAGGCTCCACTTCCTCTCCGGGGAGGAGGAGAACAGGATCCACGGGCCAGGGTTCCGAGACTTCTACATCGACTCCTCCCTCCCCCTCCTCCGCAGCGCTCATCTCCTCCACTGTCTATACTTCGGCGATCCGCTGCTCCCCAAGGACTTCAACGCCGAGACAGACGTCAAGAACCTGCTGGAAAGTCTTCACCTCCCCTTGCAGCAGGGGACCATGTTCCCTCTCCTCTACTCCCTCACGGAGCAGCTCGTTGGCCAGTGGATGCAGGACCTGGTCGCCTTCCTGTCCTCCTCCTCCTCCTCCTCCTCCTCGTCCTCCAGTACGCTGCAAGCATGGCCAGTACCGCAGGAGATGGGGATGCCGCTCATGATCCCCCTCCCCGACCTCTACCATGATCTCTACATGCGCTACAGGGACCAGAAGTGCCTTGGTTGCTCCAACGAGTTCAGCGAGCTCGAGCCGTCAGTCCCTCATCGCCCAGCCCTCTGCCTGACCTGCGGCCAGCTGGTCTGCTTTGCCAGCGACTGCTGCAAGCGCAAGGTCGACCGGAGCGTCTTCGGCCTCTCCCCCTCCACCGTTGTCGCCGAGTGTTTCTCGCACGCGCTGGAGTGCGGGGCTGGGACAGGAGCCTTCATGCTCCTCAAGACTTCGATGGTACCTGCGCTCCTCTCCTCCGCTGCCCTCCCCTCCTCCCTCCTCCCCTCCCCTCTCCACCTCTCTCCCCCTCCCCTCCCC